CTATTAAGGACATACAAAAGACAGAAGCCAAGCTTATCTCATCCTCATTTTGACGTCCATATCAAGTATCAACCCCGCGACAGCAAATCCCATCACGCCTCTCCACAAATTCAAAATCTGCACAATCGTTCAACGTCTGCATTATCATTGTCTTATCACTTCTATATTATAATGTGACTTTAATCATAATATAGAAGAAATATATGGACAAGAAAGAAAATCAAAATTCACTATATCGAAACTATATATTTATGTTTCGTTTCCATTAACTACAATCAACGTTTTAAAGGATTTATTTGCAGAGATAACATACGTTTGCTGGAAATTTGCAAAAAACTACACTATACTAACAAAAAGTAAGAAAGAAAATATATCATGAGAAGCGTTTTAAAGAAGAAAATATATGAGACTTTATCACCCGGCTAATCTCTCAAAGTAAATGTCGACCGTTTACCATGTTTTCTAATGAGTCTAAATCGTGATACAATTTTGATTGACTACATGGATGGGGATAGATAATATGGTAAAATAAAACTTGCTATTAAACAAAATCGAATAAAAAAGAAAGGATTTACCTTGGTGGTAGGGGCTCTTGAAGTGTAGATGATATCAGGGAGATAACCCTGTAAACCGACATTGTAAACCGGTTTACCATCAGGGTAAAACAATCCGTAATTCCTCTCAGAGGTGGGACCCGGTTTAAGATTCTCATTGAAAAGGGCGAAAACGTAAACATCAATGGGAACAGATTGCTTGGCCGGAGTTCTTTTCCTCTCCTGAATCAACCGGAGCAGATTCCCATTATAAAGCGCCGCGTTCTCCGGCGAAGCTCCGATCTCGTTCTCATCTCCTATAGATGGCCAACCAGTCTCCGAAACCCGAACCTCGATGTCGGTGTGTCCCATGGTTTTAATAGCAGAGTAAAGCGCATCAACTTGAGCAAACAACATATTGTCGTAATGGAGATTAGTGTTTGGATCAACCATCCCTTGATTTGGTTGGAACAAAACGTATTCTAGTGGAATCTCTTTAGGGCTGTCTTTGTAAGCGAAGAAAGGATAAGCGTTGATCAAGAATGGAGATTTAACCTGAGAGTGGAAATCAAGAAGTGGTCGGAGATACTGAATGAACTCTTCTTTGAATGATCCTGAAGAAGGAGGATAAGATGTTTGAAGAATATCGAGAGAATGAGCAGAAGTGACCATGACTTGTTTCTCCAATCCGAGATTGACTAGAGCAGAGTAAACTGATCTCATCGCTGGTAATAGATTCTCGATCAAGACACGATCGTTAGTTTTAAAGATTTCGTTTCCGACAACGATCGAGGTTATACGAGTTTTCGATATGTGTGGTTGAAGTCGTTGTTGGATCCAAGTCTGAGCTTTGGTTGGATCTTTAGACATATTTTGAAGGAACTCGTTACCTAACCCGATCATGAAATCGACTTGTGAATTAGAGAAGGAAAAGAGAACGTTCGGATCTGCGTCGTAGAGTTTCACTCTCGTGATGTTTAGTGACCGGAGGAGTACGGCGACTCTTGCAGGAGACGGTAGGTTGTTAGCGATTTGACCGTAGTTGATGCCTACTCCTTGGCCCTTAACTTGAACAAAACTTGAGAGAATAAGAAAAAGGAGAACAAATCTGAACAAGGCCATGGCCGCATGTGAACTTTTCAGTTTTGTTTTTGGTGTATTTAATATAACATAGACACACGGTGGCTTTTCTTCTTCTTCGTCCTCGCTTTCAAACCGTGTGTCTCTCACCAAATATATATTTATATAATTTTTAAACTTTGCCTTTTCAACTAGAAAAACTTATATATATAATGGTATGTAAAGAATATACTCGTTTAGTAATTTTTCCATTTATGCTGATTACTTTATGGCCTTTACAACTCAAACGTTACGATTTAGGCAAGTTTCCTTGTATTTACATACATGCATATGAAGGAAGAATAAGTAGGTTTGATTTATGGATACGAATAAATCTAAGCTGTTCTACCTTCCATTTCTTGAATATTCTATATAATGTCTAATAATTATTGCATTTACTTATTATTCCATATACATGTATGTAATACAAGGAAACTAGCCTAAATCGTAATGTTTGATCTGTAAAGGCCATGACAGCAATACACAGCTTAAAGTTTGATTTATGGATACGAATAACTATAAGTTGTTCTACCTTCCATTTCTTGAATATTCTAATGTCTATAATACACATGGT